TTCAATCCCCTGTTTTCTTGAAGTGCGACTAGAGAAATGGATCGTGGACAACATAAATCCCTTACCAAAATTGTTGGAATGACATCTGAAATTTAGCCTCACATGTTGGAAGATATGGGAAGCAAAAAACAAAAGGATCTTCACTTCTGAGCACATTCAACCTTCCATTGTAAGGTTTACTATAACGTTGATCATCTGCTCTTTCCATGCTTCTCTTGTTTGCACTTTCTAAGGCTCTTTGCCTTTTGTTGTAACTATATATTGGTTTACTTGGCTTGAGTAAATACTCCTCATTTCACCAAAAATAAGAGGATTATATTATTAAATTAACATGTGAATTGTAATTAGATCACAAGTGGTGTAAGATGATTCTTATTACCAGTATGTTTTCCATAAAAAAAATTCATGATTTACGTTGTTGCTATTAACTCCTGCAAGAAGCTCACACTTCAAATTGGGATAATCATTTTCAAGATTAGGTCTATCATAAATTTGAAAAGATCAACTACCTACGATGAACAAATGCATGCGGGCAAGCGGTGTATGTGGAGGAATGCGCATAGTGAGGGATTATAAGAATTACTACATCCGGTTTTTAATATAAAACCTGGTTGACTAATTTGGAGAGATTAAGAAAATTAATTACTTATAGTAAATAGATGTTGTCTTCCCTAAAATGTCATTATTAATCATATGTGTTTGAATTACAAATTGATAATAACTCCTTAACATATGTAACCACTATAAGGATTACTTGAGAAAAAATGGATAAATATTGGAGATAAAGTGAATTGAAGTCTTATATTTAGAACCAAATTAAAAGTCAAACCATATCTCATATTAGGGACTGGAGACCGTACTTCAATTCCTCCTCCTACTTTGTACCTTGTTTTATTAAAAATAAAAAGGCTATATTTGATTAAAGTAATTTTAGAAGTTGAGTCATGCACATGGACAAAATTAGAAAAGAAAAATTACACACAGGTCTCAACTAACAGAATTTATTAATCCAAGGTTCCTTCAAGTATTGAAATTAATGTAAAGTCTCCATAGACTTGTGGGTAAAACATTAAAATTGTGAAAAAAGGTTTTTACCCTCATTGATTGAAAAAGAAAAGTAGAAGAAAAGAGAGCTTGGTTCACGCATTTTTAACTCTAAGTGGAACGTAATGGGCTTTGCAGGCAGCTTCATCATCTCCATTATTCTAGGCAAGTCATCTTTTTACTTCATTTTCTTTGTAGGTCTTATCATTCGCTATAATTATCTTTTTTTTCCTCCATAATATAAAAACATTTAATGTTGGTTTGATAGTTGATTGGTGTAGGTGTGGCAGTATTAAGAATATGATTTAGCTCATGTGAACTATCAAGGTTGACCCGTTTTAATCATATACGGTCTTAATCATTTTAGGTGTGTTTTCATTATTTGTGAGTATGGTTATAAATTGATGCTCTTTTTTTGTGTTTTATACTATGTTTTTAATGAAAATGAACGAATATGATAATTTTTTGTTGTTAAGACCCCTGTTATGCAATGGTAAAATAAGTTGTTAATAGATACATCGAAAGTTGTTAATATAATTGATTAACTTGTCAATGACAAGTGTTTGTCATAGGTTGATATGAAAGATGACAACTTTAAGTAAAAAGCATCTGTTCTGTTTTCTTCATATAGGAGGACAATCTATTAATAGTATAGAAGGTGAAATACAAGATGTTTCAGATGGTGTGAGAGTGAAAATAATAAAAGAACAATCCAAGTTTGGTGGCTTCTGTATATTTTTTCGTGACTATATGTGACAATATTTTTGTATATCTATGTAACAGTAATTTTTTGTAAATGTTATTAAATACACCTCAAGTTAAGGAGTCATTAGGTAGACATGCAACCTATATGATTTTTTTGGAAGAGTTGTGAATTTGGTGTAATTACATCGCACATACATATAAAGTTGTAAATGAAATATGAAAGTAGTATTACATAATGTCATATTTTATATTTTATTGTACTTGTCAAATCCAATGCTTATGCTTGTCAATATATTCCCACTAACTTACTAATCCATGCCTTGAGCTTATCAATAGTTGTCTGCAACAAAATTATGATATAAATCTATCATTTCTTCTAATATCATTGTGTATGTTTTGAACACGCGTCATTTTAGTTTACAAATTATATAATACTTTTGTTATAATTTGATCTTTTGTGAAGGTAATATTATCTCATAAATTTAGGTTTTAACTTAAACCCCTAAATTAAACCCCCAAACTTGTCAATAAGTTCTCATGGACTTGTTAATCCATATCATTGAGCTTGTCAATAACTGTCAACAATAAAATTTCGATATAAACCCATCATTTCATCTAATATTAGTGTACATGATTTGATCACACATGCTTTCAGCTTAAAAAAAGTTATATAATACTTTTTGGTTATAATTTGATCTTTTGTAGAGGTAATATTATCCCACAAATTTAATTGTCAACTCAAACCTCCTAACTTGTCAATCATTGACTTGCTACTCCATGCTATTGAGCTTGTCAATGGCTGTCAGCAACAAAATTCTGATATAAACTCATCATTTCATAAAATGTTGTGTGCATGCTTTTGATTACATATGCTTTAGCTTAAAAAAGGCTATACAATATTATGTTGTTATAATTTAATTTTATATGGAGGTAATATTATCTCATAAATTTAGTTGCCAGCTCAAACTCCGTAACTTGTTAATATGGTCTCAGGACTAGTTAATCCATACCCTTGAGCTCGTCAATACTTATATGCAACAAAATTCTGATATAAACCCATTATTTCATCTAATATCAGTGTGCATGTTTTGATTACACACGCTTTCAACTTAAAAAAGGCTATACAATATTATTTTGTTATAATTTGATCTTAGTTAGAGGTTATATTATCCTCTAAATTCAGTTTCAACTAAGATACTCTAACTTGTTAATATGTTCCCTTAACTTGCTTATCCATGCCTTTCAGCTTGTCAATGGCTGTCTACAAAAAAAAAATTCTAATATAAGCCCATCATTTCAATTGAAATCCCCTAAGTTGTTAATTGGTTCATATTGACTTGTCAATCCACACTTTTGCACTCGTCAATAACATTCTGCAAAATTCTGATATCAACCTCATATATATGTATTTCATCACACATGAACTACATTTCAAAACCTTTATTAACCACCGGATTATGTTAATACACATGAACTGTCCAACAAAGTCACCCCATTGATTATGAATTAAGATTCAATCATTTTTTAAAATACAAAATAATTAATATTGGAGGCTTATTTCCTCCTCTTGCTTTGGGGCTTCCCATGTAACAATGACAACACTTCATCACCATATAAGTTGTTCTTTAAATGACTTAGTCCCCATTGAGGTGGTCTTCTTTTCCCTACAATTAATGCTACCATTGTTCTCAATTCTTAACATGTTGTATCTTCCTTTACGAGTCTTGTTCTCACATTAGTCCCAACATATTATATTTCACCTTCTACACCAGTAATAAAGTGTCCCTGTAAACGAAGAAAACATAATAGATGCTTCCCACTTGAACTTGTTATCCTTCATATTAACTTGTAACAAACACTTGTCGTTAATAAGTAAAAAGCCATATTGACAACCTTTGATACATTTATTGACAACACATTTTGCCTTCGCATAGCAGGGATTTAAACAACAAAAACTTTTGTCATTTTCATCCATTTTCATTGAGCGTAGAGAAATAGAGCATAAATTCATAATGAAACTACATCTAAAATAATTAAGAGGACATAGGATTAAAATGGATAAGCAAGTTCACATAAGAGCTACAATATATCCTTAATACCTATACATCCTCATCCAATCAATATTCAAACCAAGATTAAACTTTTTCATACTGTAAGGAAAAAGAAGATATAAGTTGTGAATGATAATGAGACCTACAAATGATGAAGCAAAAAATGGTTCGCTTGGAATAATAGACATGATCAAACTGATTCTAGACCTCATTACCTTCCTTCTGAAACTTCTCTTCCTCATGCGGCAAAGAAAGTGAGCAATTGGCATCTCTTCTCTTCTCCTTTTCTTTTGAAATTAATGAGGACAAAAATATCTTTTCATAATTCTAATGTTTTACTCATAGGTTCCTGGGAACTTTACATTAATTTTAACATTTGAAAGAACCTTATACTAATAAAATGTGTTATTTGGAACCTCTGTAATTTTTCCAATTAGAAAGCTAGAAAGCTCTTCCCTTTGCAGCCAACAGTCATGCCTATATAAAGCATAACAAATTTGGTCAAGAGAACCGGCTGTGGAGAATTGTTTGCTCAAGCTTGTAGCTTAGGTTCCGGTTCAAAAAATACAAATAAATATCACCTATATCAAACACCATAATTCTCCGCACTCTCGAGATAGATAAGAAAATAAATTCTTACCAAAGTCACTTCTTTTTGCTCATGCGCTTGGATTTATACATCATTCCTATTATATATTCTCTTCAATCTTATATATAAACTAGGAAAAATAATAAAAAAAAGAAGCTAAAAGTTACCAAATGCCAAATAAAGAGTGTCAACAAAAATTTGTTATCATTTACAAATTCAGTGTTGTCAACACCAAATAAAATATTGTTACCAAAGCTAATTTTGGATTTAGTAATTTCCAACTTTTTTTGTCATTTTTTTATAAGCTAAATAATTAATTTACAAATATTAAAAAAATAGTTAAATTAATTATTTATAATTAATAGAGAGAATTACAGTCAAGTACCAAAGAAGAAAAATAATTACTAAAAATTTCAAATAACAACTTGGACAGCCTGTAATGTTACTAGAATGAAAAATGACAACCTCTTAAATTTAATTGTAAATTTTTTTGTCCTTTAGGACTTGTAATTCTCCCTAATTAATATGCATTGGATTCTCTAACATGTAATTTGATCATTACTCGAAACCTCATTTTATAACACAATCTATAGAGATGTCTCGAGAAAATATTTATAAATTTGAGATCAGAGGGAGTATTATGCATTTACTAATATAAAGTACATACAGTATATAAACTGTTTCACACAGACAAAAGTTCGAGGCGATAATGGTATATGGCCAAGAAGACACCATATTTCCTTTCAGAAATATCCAACAATTACCACATTTCCAGGCAAAGGGACCCAAATCTACACGGAGTAATAGAGCAAAGCATTACAACCAAACAAGTAAAAACTATCTCTAAACCAGTCAAGGTCCCACGTCTTCACATCCAAGAAAAACGAACAGGTCAGCTACGGGTCATTAGGAGATCTACAATCTGTAACCAAGCTAGAAAACGGTCAACGGAGCTCACTAAGCCACACTATTAGCCAGAAACGAACGATGACATGGCTCGTCTGAATTCCAGAGATTTGAGTGCTGACGATGGAAAATGCTTTCCGTCTGGCACCCACAAGCCGCCACTATGGGGCAGCAGCACCTGTGGCTGGCTCTTTCTGTTGACCTCACCAGCTTCCTTTGGTGTATTCTCTTTTCTCTTCTTCACAAATTCAAAGAACTCAGCAACTTGGCGTGCATATCTTCAACCAAAAAACAGATTAAAATGCATCAGGGCATGCCATATAAACGTAGCATCTTTGTATAAACCAAACAAATACTCCAGAAATAATTTAGGGACAATAACCCTAGGCACAGAATTGCTTTCACAGTGACAAACTCGGAGACACTCCAGTTGTTTGACACTAGAAACCACTCAAAGCCGCTCTAGTATCCATCCACATCTTCACACCCTTCTAAAACATCCCAAAAATAAACCACAAGAAATTTTTACCAAAAGCCATATCATTCCCATACTCCACTTGCTTATGCTTTCCAGAATATACAGAAGACGGTCACATGGCCTAGAAGGCATGAGTTGTTAATTGTAGTGAGGGCAAAGCAGCTTCCAGGAATTTTATTAGCTAGAGAAACATAGCAAATGGGTGAAGAAAGCAAGTAGGAAACTGAATAAATCTGTAAAAGTTTCTGAAATAAAGACCTGAAATATAATTACCCCTCACAATCATCCTTTAAAAATAAAAACAACTGGAAAATGTTACGGTATTGGAAAAAGAAAGAGACAGAGAAAGGGAAAAAGACAATCTGAGAGAGAGAAACAGAGAAATAGGGAAGAGGAGAGACGAGACAAAGCAACACTATCCATATCATTCATAATCTGATTTACAGTATAGGGGTTTACATATATTTATAGGCATTAGCCAATAACGGTCATCATTCTTAACTACCCTAACTAACTTTCTTTTATTTATTATAATGACATATCAGAAACGTCTAAAAATTTCAACCATTCACATCATCACACATTGAATAGACGGCTTAGCAAAGTTAGTGAGCTTAACCTACATGCCCTCATTTAATTATAGTCAAGCAACAAAAAGGAAAACACAACCACCATGCATGGAAAAATCATCTAGTCCATCTATATAGAAATATAGCCATATCTCAATATAGATAATTATCTTACTCTCTCTTTGCTTCAATATCTTTGCTGAAATCAATATTGGGTTCACAGTCCAAGACCAATGCAGGAACCTGGTCAAACCAAAATGATTAAGCATGACTACTAAAAATAACACCACAAATTTCACAGACGTATTGACAAAAGGGGCACCTTCTGAATGCTTGAATGCATATGATCACCCTCAAGATAAAATACACGGTCTTGTATATCAGGATGTAAGGAGTTATCAATGTGCAAGGGCAGTTTACTGATTGATAATACTCCGTGATTGCCACTTTGGGAGGGAAATAACCAGCTTTCATGCTTTTCATGGAGGCTACAAAGATAATCTAGGGTGACTCCACCTTCCTCTGCTCTCTTCCGTAACTTCATCCTCTTATGGCAAGTATCAGGACTTGCTCTAAGATAGATAAAACCATCAGGGATAAGCCCAGGCAAGCAAGACACAACAGGATCAAACCAAGAGTCATAAATGCTGATCTCCATTTCATTCATCCAATTGGCCTCATGAACGGATCGAACAAAGACCTTTTATTGAAAGTGAGACAAAACGCATCAGCCCTTAAACTCTCAAAACAGAATTTTCTTCCCTTGTGCTTCGATCCATGCAGGAAAAAGGAAGAACTGCGAAGCTCCAAATTTATTAATTGCAGTTACTTTTGAACCTTGAAAACATTTTTTGGCTAAAGCTACATTGCCTATCTACAGAAATATATAATGTGCAAAGCAAGCAATCACAAAAGTTGTCTGAGACTTGAAAAGAGTCAAAGATACGAACAACACTCTTTTTTCAAGAAATATAAATGAAAGAGAAACATCAACAGACACATACTTACCATCCTGTCACTGAAAACGCTCCTCTCCATCAACCGAAGAGGCTTGATTCCACCAGAAGACTCTCTTTCCTGCATAACTCTTGTGACAAATACATAGTTCTGAAAGGTGTACGCATATCTTTGTGGCTCAGCATAGAAAGCATCCAGAACATTGAAGTGGTCAGGTCCAACATCCTGCCACTTGTCAATGGGTTCAGGAACCACCTCAACAAGATCACGCAACTCAATTGTTTCATTAGCTATTCTCTGAAGAAAAGTAGTCTTGCCAACACTGATATTGCCCTCAACACAAAATGTAATCCGATTTTTCTGTGGTGACTGCACAGAGGAATTAGCTTCTGACTCTTCATCCACACTCTTTTTGATAAAAGTAGTAATACTTTCAGCATGGTTCCTGTGGATGATTCCCACAGAACTCTGTAGATACTCAATCATCTTGTCACTAGGCTTGCCAGAGAACTGTAGAAAATGGCCCAATAAATTAAAAAACTCAAGTTTTGCATGCTCCAATAACATCAAGCTAAAAGCAAAAGCCCACCAACATTTATAACACAATAAGACTCTTTTGACCTTATATTCTTTTACACAAAAAATTAAATTGGATTGCCAGCCTAAGGCCCAAAATTCTTTCAAGAAATGTGGAAACTACAAGACTATCTTAATCCTTCTAATGGCATAGAAAGGGGCAACAGATGCACCATCTAATCTATGATGTAAAATATTCCCGTTTAAATTCAGATCAAATGAATGAATTCAGCTTTAGCTGGGTGAATCAACCAACAATAGCCATTTGTTAAACAAAAATTTCAATTGAACATGAAGTTAGAAGCGCCATTATCATCTTTATCAGTTAGAAACGCCATTATCATCTTTATCTTTTTAAACGAAGCTAAACTACAAAGAAAGTTCTTTAAAAAATATTAAATTTAATGAATTTGACGCAAACGGGAGTTTAGGTCCATTTAGGTCAAGGCAACAATGTAATGGGAAAAATACATTACTTAGACTAAGAAGCTTGAACATTGGCACTATCAAAAAAAGGAAGCATGAACACTGGACGCGATAAAACCAAGGATCTAAATGTGTAGTTTCTGATACATGTGTGTATACTGCACGATATGACTTCCCTCTTGACATATGGGTAGTTTATAGCAATAGAAAAATTTAGCCACAATATACCTTATCTTTATAGAGTTGCTTGAGCTCGGCAACTCCAGCAAAACCCTTCTCTACCAGCTTTCGCAAATTTCTCGGACCCACACCCGGAATCGTCAATAAATCCGGATTTGAAGATATGTCACAGCTGCTGCTAGAAGAACCCTTGGGCCGCCTATTCAATTTTACGGGCTTCTCCTCCGATGAAGACAATGTAGCCGTACATTTGCCCTCTTCCCTAGAATCTCCGAAAACAGAGTCATCTGAATTCGAACTTTCCTGAACAGAAGCAGAGAGAGAAGAGCCATCTGAACCTGAATGCAACAACGCAGCACGTGGCCCACTCCTTTCACTTTTAACCACAACCCATGCTCGAGATAGCGTCCTATGGTTGATTGCGTACTTACAGATGGAGCAACTCCTCGAAGAAGCAGGCAGAGTGGCCAAGTAGCCAGACGATAGAGCAGAGCTCAAAGTAAAGTGTGCCTTACTGATAGGCGCCGTAGCCAAAGACAAAGCGGATGAAGCAACAGCAGCCATTGTAGGAAGCCGTGATGAAGAGTGAGAGAGAAAGGCGCTTGAGGGGCCAATGGAGTGAGAATATTTACGATTCTGAAACGCGAGGCTGTGGATTCCTGTGGGAAGACAGAGAGACAAAGTAGGGCTACCCACAGTGCAGATTATAGGAGCAGAGGAGCTTGGACGCAGCAACTTCTGCATCGCACCTTCCAAGCATTTCACTCTTCGTTCGGGCCTTCAGAGTAACAGGGAGAGAAACAGGGTCTATTATCTTTCTCACAAAGGCATAGTCACTGAGAGAGGGGGAGAGAGAAAGAAGCTTGTTGATTCTACAAAATCATAGACAGAGGTCACGAAATGCTACTTGATTCTTTAGGGCAAACTCACGAGTAAGTCAGAGGCAGAAGATCTCACGAGAGGGATCGTAGTCTGTTTCCCGCAGAACTTCTGGCGAAAAGAGAAGGGTTTGAGGGTTTTTGGCGTTGGTGATAAAACGAACGCCGCAGGATTTCAATTTTTTATTCGTTGTTGCTGTGGTGGTGTTGGTGGTTGTTGTTGTCATTGTTATCGCAGAAAATTAGAGAAAACTGCTTCTAAATCTTCATTTGACTATTTTGCTGCAAATATCTTCACATATAATTAATGCAGCAGCGTTAACACACAAACATAGCAATAGTATACAGAATCAAAATTTTTACTCTGACCTAAAAATATAACACCTCACTTTATAACTATATATGGAGTCAAAACTTGTCAAATGGAATCGCGTTGCATCCCATTAAACTTAGAAAATCAAACCTTGAAAAATCACTTTCTCAAGTTAATGTTCATTTGATAATCTTAAAATTTTGATCAACTTTAAAAATTTATAATTAATTCTAGAAAAATCAAAATGAGGTAGTTCTAAGTTTTATTTGAAGCACTTTTATTTCTTTACTTAAAAAAAATACTCACTGGTCAATTACCTTTACTAATCAGACTCCTTCATGTAAAAAGCACTGTTTATTTGGTCAATTCTTTATTTTTTAGCTTTTTACTATAACTTCAAAAATTCATAACTTCTACCATATAACTCCAAATAGGTGATCTACCACTCTATTTGAATATTGGGATATAAACTCTAGGCTCACCAAATCTCATGGCCAGATTCCATCATTTGTCCAGGAAAGCCACGGCCACAAGTTCATGGTTTTACAAGCATTTTCACCCCCCTTTTTTAATGCATTATCTTGTGGCATTTAGGCCATGAGCATGCAATATACGATTTATCACACATACTATCATATATTCATACATGATCATGTTTCTCAAGAAATGGAAACATAGTCTCTTATAAGCATTCCTCAAGTTGTACAAAGCTACAAAAGTTTTAACCAACACTCATAATAACATAACCAAATCAAGCATCTCAAAGTATAACATCTCATGTCCGGTCAAAAAAAAAAAAAAAGTATAACATCTCATGTAAATTCTTTTCATGCCGCCACATTCTTTCCTCTTTCTCTTGATGGACCAGCCCCTAAAAGGAGGGTGAGATTTCAAAGAAATCTCAATAGCAAAGAATAACAATTATAATACTAACAATGCAAGGTCATATAACGCTATATGCAAAGCAACATTTTCATGCATTCTCCTACATTGTCATGCCATGAAAAGGGAGCACATAAACATGCTATTAAGCAACTCAACTATACATATTGCCATGGCATAAATGTAAGGAGTTAAGCACATCATATCATAGCTAGTTCAACCATATCATGGCATAAAACACATAGCAAAACGACTAATGCAAGTTAATACTAAATTTGTAAGTTCTTGCTACCTTGCTTAGACCCTTGCATTTTACTTTCTTTTCTTTGTTCTTAAGTCTCCTCTTGACCAAGATCAATATCTATCAATTACATAATAAAGGCATTCTAAGTTTCATCTCAAACAACTTCATTAAATATGTAACTTAAAACCCTAACCCTTTATCCTTGATTTTAAGATTTTTGTATCATCTTTCTTAACAACTTTATAAATGCTTCTTGGGCTTAATCATGATTTTAGATGTTCAAAGGTCTAAAAAATGAGCAATAAAGCTTGAAGATTCAAAGTGGCCATTTTTGCAATTGTTGCCCTGATGAAGATTTCTGTTGTCCTAGCAACCTTGTGATTTCAATACTACGTGTTTTGACATATTGGGCCTCTAAATCCAAAACCAAACCATCCAAATTGACCCCAAATCTTTCTAATCTAATTCTCCTATGATTTTGATCGAATTCTCCTTATATTAGAACCTTAGTTTGTCCCTTCCACTCTCTTCCTTTTATTCTTTTCATTTTCATCATCATTCATTAGCCTCACTATCACTTTCACTCCATTATTCCACCTTTTACCAATTTTAGTTTCTAAATTTGTCCCTTTCCTTGTTTCTTCATGGTTGTTCATGCTGTGCTATTTGGTGGAGCTTGTTTTGATGCTGTGAGAGGCTAGGGCTTTAACTCTTGAGGATTGAAAGATTGGCTTGAGTTCTAGAGCATTTTTGGGGAGTTTTTCTTAGTTCTAATTCTTGTTTAGCTTCTTTAATGACGAATCCTAGATTTAGGTTTTCTTTTGTGCAATAGCTTTGAACTCTTTTATGCTTGATTTCATGTTTTGGGCTAATTTGTGATTTAGATTAGGATTTGTAGCTTAAGTACTTGATGAATTTATATATATATATGAGATTATATATATGTGTAATTGTTATTGTGTTGAATCCATCGTTATTATGTTAGATACTATGATTGATGTGAATCCGTTATTGATTAATGGCCCTGGTTGAGTGTATGATAAAAAAGGAATAAGCTATGGTAATCTAATTTTAATCGCTTAACTCCCATATCATTAAGTGCACAAGGATAGCCAATTAACCCTTTTCTTAAGAGAATTCACTACATCCATATCCATTTCATCTATCAGATTTTACAAAAGACCAAAAAAGATTATAACTTAGGATTTTATTCACTCTTGCATTCTAGTTTTATAAAAGAAGACCCAAACCTTTCCCCTGTCAATTTTACATTTCATGGCATTTAGGTTAGTCTAGGAATCAATAAAAGGCTCATAGAGAAAGAGAGAACAATCCTAGGTTTACACTATTGTAATCCTTAGTATCTATTGATTATAGACCTCAAGGCATATGATAAAGATCTCTATCACCATCTCATATTACATTTCAACCTCCTTTCCTTTTCCCTCAAGTTCAAAAATATTTTCCTTACTTTGCATAGTTTTCTTGTTTTCAAAAATGAATTTTAAACTCTAATCAACCTCTTTTTGCATATAGTATCTAAAATGTTTAATAAATTGACTCCTTAGAAATGACCCGGGTGATTGTTTTACTGCAATCCTTGGTTTTATAAATATTGTTAATTTTAACCTTCAAGGCACAAGTAAAAAGGTTAAATGACATAGCATTCAACTTTTGTATATAGAATCAAGATCTTTCAATATATGTAGATGTTCCAAGATAATAAGATGATATATGCATAACTACTTGGTGGAAGAAAATGGCTTAAGTGAAAGTAGGATCAATGGGTTTAACAATGGATAAAGTGTTTAGGATTGTGTTTAAGGACGAGGGTATTGAAATGAAAGCCCCAGTCATCTTCATTAATCTATGTACACTTGAGTGATTAAGATGAAGAACTCAAACAAGCTCCAAAGAGACTTAGTATAGGAAGCTAACACACTAAAGGAAATGACTAATTAGGCTCAAAACATCCCTCCGACTAGGTCTAGCCTCTTATGCACATTCTACAATAATTAAAAGGGTACGTACTAGATTAACCAAATGCATGAACTAGCCTAAATCTAAAGCTAACTCTTGGAAAATAATTAAACAAGTTATCACAAACTCCAAGAGCACATAAAAATTCCCAAAAACATTTAGAAAATTTTTTCCCAACACAGAACAACAAAATCCAAGTGTAAAGGGCCGGTTGCAAGGTATATTAAGGCTTTTGGAATAAAAGATTTAAAAACTTCAAAGTATGAAAATTCTAGAGTCCATCATGGTGAACAACACAGAGAAGGATTTTTTAGCTGAAAAAAATACTTTCATCATGACAAAAAGGTTGGTGTGCTATGGCAAACCACGTAGAAAGCCCAATATTCTAAATCACAACAATACAACCAAGGATTTTTACTCAAACAAAATATTCTTCCAAAAATGGTCTTATAATCATCAACTTTGCTAAAATAAACAAGTCAAAATTTTGGGAAATGTTTCAAGAAAATTCAAATTTGAAGACAAGATGAAGCAAAAGATGCACAAGTCACAAAACAAAGCACACAACCCTTCCCCCACACTTAAACCTTGCATTGTCCTCAATGAAAAACTTAAGTGTGAAGTATAACATGCAATGAACCTGATCAGACCGGAAACTCACCTTGCAGGTCATCAAAATTATGATTGCACCAGATAATGTAGTATAGGGCACAACCAATCATTCTTATCGAGGAGTGGTTTATTAGAAAACAACCTAGTCTAAATTGGTAATAAAAAACATGATGATTTGGGTAAAGAAAAATGAGGTTTTAATTGTTTTAAAGGTGGTACAATAAATGTAAAGTGCACAGAAATAAATGTTTTTGGTATTTTAAATAAATGTTTTGGATTAAAGGGAAATTATGGTGAAATAGTCTCTTGATGATCAAAACTTAGCTATTACTGCTCTTAAAATGATTGGGAGTTTTAAAAATCTCAAAGTCTAAAAAAAAATCCCGAGTAATCACTTGGGTCCAATGTCTTAATTAATAAAAACTCACTTTAATCAAAGTTAATTAACAACTCTTAAAACATTGTTGGAAACCACTTAGAGTGTAAATTAATGGACGATGCAAACGTCTTTAGAATGTCAATCGACAATCACAGAATACCAAGCACTCAGATTAATCATCAATAATCACTAAAAATCAACTGAACACAAGGATTCAAAAAATGATATATTTATATAGATGATCCAACATTAATAGCATCCAATCCAAATACATTTAGTAGTCTAAAAATAAGATTTACAATCATAAACCAGGTCTGACACAAGTACAGAAATCCCTAAATCTAAAAATCTTTAACACAGAATTAAGCACAGGTTTAGACTGATAACTCCCCTATTAAGTCTTTGAGCTCAAGCTTTGTCTTCTATCACCAAGAGGCTAAAGATTTAGCCTCCCATGTCTTCAAACTGATCACAATCGCTCTAGGTATCAACAGCCATGAGTGATACTAAAAATGGGGTTGAAAAAATGGAGAAGAAGGTGGTTTGAGTGGTTTGATTGGTCCAGAATTGTAGAAAATGATGAAGAAGTAAAGAAAAATAAAGGTTTTGGGTGTGGAATCAATGGAGGCTTGAGAGGAAATGATGGTGGCTTTTATCCTTGCAAATCTGCAGAATGGAGAAGTCCCTTTTTCGTGGTGGCTGCCCCTCTTAGGTGTAGAAGCTGAAAAACCTATTCCAAAATGC